TATAGGGCACTGAAGTATTTCATGTTTTGCAGAATTAAAAAAAAAATCATGCTTCCATGCCTGTTATTTTCTAATGGTGTTAAAAATAGAAATTGCTCCCTCTCAGAAACCTGAAATATTCTTGCCAAGAGATTGTCCACTTGCAAAACTAGGAAGACAGAAAATTGTATCCACCTGCATTTTTCCGATTGCTTCTCATCTCCCAGTTTCTACTTCTTTAACATTGGATAGGAGGAAAAAACAAATGTGATTATGCAGGTAAAATTTGACAACATTGATTGCCAAGGATCCACTAATCATTCCTAAGAATTATAGGAAAACAGTTTAACAAAAATAAGTACTGTGTGCATCAAGAAAGAGTCATAAATTTTCTACCAGCACAAAAAAAGCAAAAATATATATACTAAATATTTAACAATGAGAAAATAAGTAATTTATCCACAGCATAAAATTGTGTACCAATTTAAAAATGTAGATACAGAAATATTATACATTTGGTGAAAAGGAAAAAACAAAATACAGAAATCTTAAATTCTGAAACATATGAACATGTGGAAATTCTGAGAAATGCAACTAATTGATGCACTCAGTGATTTTTACCCTATAAAAAAAAAGCACCATTTTAAGTCATCAGGGGTTATTGCTATCTTTTTTTTGTGAGACAATGAAAGCATCTCAGCATCCTCAAATATGCTTTGGATCCTAGATAAGGTTTCATTTAGCAAATAAAAATACAATTTAGCAGTTAAATTTGAGTCCAGATTTTTTTAAAAAACCACTATTTTATTATAATTATTATAAAATATAATTTAGTATGCTCATTTAATTTTTAGTATAATATGCATACAATTTTGAGACATACCCCCAAATTATTTTTTATCTAAAATTCAAATTTAATTGGATGTCCTATATTTTAGCTTGCAAACTTACTCTTCTTTCTTCCAATTTCTTCCAAGATAACAAGTCTAAGGGACAGCAGAAAAAAGAGGTTAGTGTTTGGTCTGCCCTACAAACACAGCGCAAACCACTGAAATTTCATGCAGTAATAAAAATTTTGAACTGCTTTTCTCAGATGGGGAGGAACAGGCACTTAAGCTCTTTAGATTCCTCTCCATGACAAAAATTCAGATGGAGAAAATACAATATGAAATGCTTCCTTGGGCCTCCCCGGTGGCGCAGCGGTTGAGCGCTGGGTTGCGAAGCTGCGCGCGGCCTCTGCGGCGCCGGTTCGATCCCCGGCTGCTCCCCGGCCACCAGAGGAGGGTCCCACATGGCGCGCAGACCTCTCCTGCCGCCCGCTGCTCCCCTCAGCAGTGTGCTTCGGTCCTTCTGCCTGCTCTGCTCCCCGCTCTGGCTCTGGTGAATTCTCTCGCCCTCCCGCGCTTCTGACTGTACCCAGTGCTTGTATAAACAAAACAAACAAACAAACCAGCAAACAAATAAATAAAGCATGCCTCTATAAAAAAAAAAAAAAAAAAAAGAAATGCTTCCATTATGTCAACCAAAAATTAACATATCTAATCACAAATAAGTATTTTGTAGCAATACTAGTGCTTATGCCATAGGAGGCATAAGCTGTTCGTGGCAATAGGATTATAGGAATCACATCAGAATTTAAAACAAATATTGTTTTTTTTTTTTTAAAGATTTATTTATTTATTTATACAAGCACTGGGTACAGTCAGAAGCGCGGGAGGGTGAGAGAATTCACCAGAGCCAGAGAGGGGAACAGAGCAGGCAGAAGGACCGAAGTACACTGCTGAGGGGAGCACCTGGCGGCAGGAGAGGTCTGCGCGCCATGTGGGACCCTCCTCCGGTGGCCGGGGAGCAGCCGGGGATCGAACCGGCACTGCAGAGGCTGCATGCAGCTTCGCAACCCAGCGCTCAACCGCTGCGCCACCGGGGAGGCCCTAAAACAAATATTGTTATCCTTTCAAATTCCCAATGCTTTCCTTTACCATCCATACCAATAGCCTGGCTATCTGAATGTTTAATGATGATTATCAAAAGAATCTCTTCAGACATGTGTAAGACACGGTAGAGAGTCACCAGTACAATGCTTTGCTTTACAAATTAAAATGGAGGTGCCAAAATGGAGAAGCTGTTCAATAGCACATCTATTTCATGACTTCCCTTTAAGAAGAATTAAAATTTTTCTCACTCACTCAGAAAGACGATTGCGGACTGACCATTGACCATTTACTCCAACTAGGAGGGTCATAGTAAGTGAAAGGAAAAAGATTAAGACAGCCTTTATCACTCTTGACATTTGACTTTCAGCAAAACTCAAAGATGAATTCAAGGATTGTGATTAATAAATGTGTGTTGATTTCAGCTAAAAATGTAAATGTTTGATTATAAATTACACAGATTTCTACCTTACAAATTAAGAACTTTTTGCAATGACAGTCTTTGATTTTGCATTGAATTGACTGTTAATGGATACAGAGGGGAACGTGAGTTTTATCAAATAAATAACCAAAAACAAATCCATTTTTCGCATCCACAGACAGGAGATCTAAACATCTCCGAGAAATAGGAAGCTTAAAATTGTGGAGAATGACAATCTGTTATTTTGTGGCCTTTTGTAACAGCTTTTCTGAACATCAAATGCCAGCTAAAACCGAAACCCTAAAGTAATAAAGCTTGCACAAAATTGTAATCCATTCTCAGATAAGATGGAAAAGTGATGTTTCTGGAGCAGCTTAAAAGAATTTCAGAAACTGCTACCAAGAAACTAGTTTCTTTCCTTGCTCCAGAAAGTTACAGAACAAAATACAATTGTTTTTCCTTCATCTAAGATGAAGCTGGTTGATATCAAAGTGAGAAAAGAGCCCATAAAAACACTTGCCTTTTTATTTAGTTACCTTGATCGCTTCTTTTCAAGAGAAGGGTGGCATCTTGTGGCACAAACACAACTTGCTTCAATGAGCTTACTCTCCTGTGAGCAAAATAGTTTGGAAAAGGACATCTGGTTCTAAGCAACTATGCATATTTTTAAATTTCTTTCCCTCAGGGTACAGCCCCTCTCCTGCCCTTTGGAGGCTGTGGTTGCTGTCAGGAGAGAGAACAGTGGGTGGAAGGTGCTGGGTTTATTAAACAAGGTCTGACAGCCAACCCCCTAAACAAGAGCCTTCCCGCACAGCTGCGCTCACCTCTCCCCCACCCAGTTTCGCTGGGACAGGGGCCCCTTATTTTCAGATTTCCTGAGATTTTTCTCTCCTTGCTTCCTTAGCCTAAGTGATTAACCCTTCCTATAATTACAGTCTCCAGCATTTTGCTTCTAAAAGCACTTCGCCTATTTCTGGGGCAGTGAACAGTAGCTGTGGGTTTATAGCAATTCAGTGTTAGCGCTTTAATCATAGTGCAGAGACAGGGGAGCCCCGTGCACTTGGGGGTCACATGGGAGAGGAGCAAAAATGTTCCCAAACTGTTTATTTCATTATAATGAAGACAAGAACTCTGACATTATAATGCTTTTTGTGAGCGGTGACTTTAACTTTTGGCTTCCCAGGGATCTGGCTTGAGAGAGCAGCATTTTTTAATTTGTCAGTGACATACATGTAAGTCTGAAGCCTGACTATATCGTCTTGGGATGAAGCCATGTTACCAGACTCAGTGACACACAGGGACCCCCAAGTTCATCCATCTACTCAGCTCCTGTGTATCTTGTTACACCACAAACTACAGGTGTTGAGGAAGCATCGAGAGTGTGCAGGATGTTTTGACTATATTTACTAGTGGTTTCTAATTTCTTCCTACTCTTTTTTGCAAAAATATCATTGATGCATGAGTTGTGTCACAAACAGTCATTTCAAATACATTGTGTAGTGTGGACATCTCCCCCAGGTCAAGAAGTTGAGTGCCAGGATAGTGTTCTTAGGAAGATGTGTTTTTGTCATCCCCAGACTATTAAATACTTAGATAGTTCTCCTTTGTAAATAACACTATGCAAGTCTTCATTGTTTGTAAATGTCTGATTATTCATTGTTTGTAAATGTCTGATCATTCATTGTTTGTAAATTTCTGATTATTTGCTTAGAAAAATTTTCTAAAATTTCTGGGCAAAACAATGTGCTTAGTTTAGGAGTTTTATAATATATTGCCAAATTGACCATCTATAAGACTATACCAATTTACATTCTTTTGAGCAACATTTTTACATGGTAATTTGAGTTTTATCACTTTTTAAAATCTCGCAGTTTTGTTGGTGAATATAATGTCTCATTACTGATAGGTAGATTTGTTCTAGTGGACAAAATGTTTACTTACATATTTTTACTAAATATTTTCTTCATTGTTACTTCCTTAAGCCTTTTGTCTTTATTTCTATTAACTTGTTTGTTATGTTATTAGTAATAATATTCTCTATATTTTTTTTAAAAAATCAACCCTTTACCATATAAGTAGAAAATATTGTCCCCAACTTTTCAATTCTTACCTTTATTCCATTTAAGATATTTTCCCTTGGATTCTAGTTTTTTCTGTCTATATCACTTTTAGTCTTTTTCTAGAACACTTTAACTTGCCTAAGATTTGTAGCCTTTAGTTCTACCAGAAATTGGTTTCCTTCCATCATCAGCCTAGCATTTATAGGTTGTATTTCATGTCTGAAAACAATGGATTGATCATTTAATAAATGGTGATCAGACAATTGGATCTGTAAAAGGAAATGAAATTTAGACTCTTACCACAGACCTTATACATACACAAAACTCACACTTGCACGAATTCCAGATGAGCTCAATCTCTAAACATAAAAACTAATACTAAATGGAAATAAAATGAATCTGAAAGAGGAATGAAAAGAAATAAAGGCACTCAGTCTCAGCAAAGAATCTAGTACCCCAGTCCAGCAGAGAAGCAGAAAATAATGAGAGCTTAAATAAGAGCATAGAGTGACTATAGTTAATAACCATGTATTATATACTTGAAATTTGCAATGAGAGATCTTAAAATTATCATCACAAGAAAAAAATATTGTAGCTATGTATTTGTGACTGATGTTAACAAAACTTGTAATGTATTTTGAAATATATATACAAATAGCAAATAGCAAAGTTGCACATCTAAAATGAACATGTTATATGTCAATAATACCTCAATTAAACAAAAACAAAAACTCTACATATACCTAACAGTTAACAACAACCACCAAAAATGAAGAGCATATGTAAATACAATCTTTTAGCTAAATTTGCATTTGCATTTGATGGCCTATTATACAATGCTTCCACCTGTGTAAAATGAGTAAATCATAGTTTAGAAAGACTTGGATACAGTGACACAATTTATAATGTAAAATAGAATTATCACATTTGGCAAAACTGCAAGCTGAATAAAATGAGAAATTCCATCTGTTACAATGTACCCTTCACCCTTACATAAAGGAATAGGAGTTACAGGAGTTTCTCCAAGTGTTTGCACAAAATGAAAGTTCCCATTTGGCAGGGACGGATGTTATTCATTTTTGATGTTATTATTCATTTTACCACAGTGGCTTGTGTGTGGTAGGAGTCCAATTAACATTTGCAGAATTTAATCAGAGTTGATTGAGCTGTAAAGAAAAATGTCACAGTCATTATTCAATGCATTTGCACAAGCTTTTATTATGAAATATTAAGAAAATAACTTGTGGCAACTTCAATTATCCATGACACAGACAGTAATAAAATCAGTGGAAAAGAATTCAGTACCATAAAAACACATACATTTTATTTTTTAAGAAGGGCCACTTGTCACCTTCAGGTTAGAGAAGAATTATGTATTATGGGTAAGTTAAAATGTATTGGCTTACTAACTTTTTTCACTAATTTTATTAATATTTGGTAATTTTCACTCAGAATATCAGTTCCTTTTTCAGATTGAGATATATGTGTATGTGCATATAATCTTTTAGTAAAACTTTATTTTTGGCATATTTTGGTATATAGAAATAATTCTATTTTCACAATCCTGCCAAACAGACATATATTAATATTATCTCCTAAAGTGTGCAATACATAAATTATTTACATTAAAAAATTAAGAACAAAGGTTTATACACAGGAAATATTTTTAAATGTACACTTATTTTGTAATCTGTGTTTTGACATTATACATTGACCTGCATCCCTTGAGCAGTTGCTAATTTTGTCACTCATTGCAACAGGTCCCTGAGGTTTAGCTTTCTAGCTACATCCAAACCCTTTCTGTGGTCAGCATTGCCCTCCTGGTTCTGTTCTAGAGCATGGTGATTGAGATCACTGATTTAGCCTCTTAGTCCTCCAGCTCACAAGCAGAGATAAGCTCACTGGCCAGGGACATCCTGATGGCACGCGGCAATCTCTGCACACCCCCTCCACCAGGAATGGCTAGCTGCCAGCTTTGTTTCAACCAGGCCCATTTTTTTCAGAGAAAGCTGCTACTCTAATATCACACACTAACACCTTCAAGGCCATGCTAAAGTCAGTTCATCTATCCCTGCAATCCTTGGCACTTGACAGTTAGCCATTTCATTAATCACTGCCCTTATTTTGAAGACAAAAGGACCAACATCACTGGAACTCATTTTTACTATTTCCTTAAGGTCAGCACCAGCACAGAGTATTCCTGGGACCTTACTCCTGACTATTATGGTCAGTACTTTTCTATCAGATTTTAAAGCATCCACAGCTTTTGATAACATTTTTTTAAGATTTATTTATCTATGCATACAAGAGCTGGGTTACAGGCCAGAGATGCGGGGTCGGGGAGAGGAGTGGTGAGAGGATTCACCAGAGACAGAGTGGGGAACAGAACAGGCAGACCAACGGGAATACACTGCTAAGGGGAGCAGCAGGTGAGTCAGGAGAGGTCTGCTTCCCATGTGGGTTGCTCCCTGGCCAGCCAGGGATCAAACTCGTGCTGCTGAGGCTGCGGATTGCTTCATAGTGCAGTGCTTAATCCCTTGTGCCAACAGGGAGGCCCAGCTTTTGATAACATTTTTATAAGACTGTTACCCATTTAATCGCTTCACCCTTCTAGAGATGAAGGTGGAAACTGCATTTTTGTCTCTAGCACTGTGTGGGGACACTTTTACAGGTAGCTACTCCACAGGACCTGGTTTAATAACTTCGGAGAGTAAATTAGAAACATCAGATACACACTGAAACACACTGCTTATGATAACTAAAAATGGAGAGAAAACAGGCTACCAACTGAAAAGTAGATCATCTGAGTGATATCCCAACCACTGGTAGCCTTTTATTCTTAGAGCAAAGTGTCTAATTGATGTACCCAACGATTGTGAAAAAAATTCAATGCCACAAATGTGCCAGTAAATAACACATAATTACATTTAGATGCCACAGAGATTCAAAAATGAGTAAGATGTAGATTCAGCTGCCAAGGACCTAAAAATCCAAAGGAGAAGTTTAACAGAGTATATAACTATCAATACAAACAAAGGCAGAGTATGAAGGTTACATAGATTTGGGAATGTAAGAGAAAAATAAGATAGATGTGATTCATAGAGAAAGCCCATTGTCTGTCCAGGTAAGGGATAGATCAGGGAACTGTACCAGATTAGCTCAGCATAGGGATAAGCAGATTAATGAAAGATACTGATGGAAAGGAAGGTTGTAGTCATATTGCGAAGGTGTATGTACTAAGATGAAAACCTTTTTTTAATTATTAAGGCTGGCCATTTGGGAGTCATAAAAGAATTTTAAGCAGGGAAATAAAGAAGAGTTGTGGTAAGGAGAAAACCAGTCTAACAATATTGCATATACTTTGTTACTCAAAGTGTGTTCCCAGACCAGCAGTATAACACCTCTCATCAACTTGTTAGTAATAAAATTCTCAGGCCCCGCTCTAGACCTGAGTCAGAGCCTACATGCTGACAGGTTTCCCAAGTTACATGGTCAAGCCTGAAAACAGGTTTAGATAGGCCGGAGAACAATTCTGGAAATGGAAAGCCAATTAAGTGTCCATTGCAATAATACAACTAATCAATAATAAAAAGTAGAAAACCCTGCCTCCACACCTCTCTTTTGCACTGATATCCCACTGGTGACAATGAAAAGTATCTTAAGTCAGTCAATGCTCTGTGACCATCATACTACTAAACTTCTGGCCCTTTTTCTTGAAGCCCCAATAGAATCTCTAGTTCCACTCAGTTCCATTATCTCCTTCTTTCCCAAGGATTGAAGTTCCGGCTTTTCCTGAACCAAATTTGTGAAGGTTCTTCAGCATATATTTTAGCTAAATCCTCTATCTACATCTAGTAAAAAAAAGTTCTAAGGAACATTTAAAAGTATTTTGATAAGTCATCATCTAACTTACTACGTTGAACTTGAATCCCAGACATCTTAGAAGTCAAATATCCTTTTTAAAGATTTTATTTTATTTAGAGCACCATGATACATATTGAACTATTTTTTATTAAATAGTGTATTTTACAGAAAAATGTACTTTGTAAGTCATCACAGCACATAGGAACTCACTGTGCCTATCTCCTACCACTTAAACTTCCCTAGATATAATATCTTTCCCACGGTTCCTTATATTTCTACATGCTGTTCCCGCTGCTCATAAGAAGCCCTCCCATTGAGCCCACTTTTCCCACCTAAAAAACTCCTACTCACCCTTCATTCCCTCTTCCTGGTGAACTCCAAAACCCTCACTCCTCCCTACACAGTCAGTTGAAACTTCCTCTCTGTTCCAGACCTGGTCAGGGCAGAAAAGGTCTCCTCCAATAAGTGGTTCACTGCAAAGTTACCCCATCATTCCTAGAGTAAACTTCATACTACCATATATACTCTGTGACAGTAAATATGAAGAGAGTTGAACATTAGTAGAAAGAAAATAGGGCAAGAATGGAAAAAAGAAAAGAATTAGTCTTCAATATATCAGCAACTTTTTCAACATTACTATCTAATCATTTTCTCATTTGAAAATGAAGATGCCTGATGAGATATTCTATGATTAACCCATCACATTAATCATGATGGCTTGAATTTACTAATTTCTAATGTCTTCTAGTTCAATTTTTATGCCTTCTTAAAAACAAAAATACTTCAAGAGGTTTTCATGTGATACTAATTTTGCTATCTGTACTTTTAAATTAATTTCATATTCTATTGTATTCAGGCAGCTGCTTAAATTGCAACATAAATCTCATCAAAAAACACAAAGTGATAAGCTGAAATAAGTTTCATTTTCAAACCAACACTTGCTGGGTTGGAATATGAGGCGCAGGGCTTAAAACAATAATAATGTGTGCTTCATAATCACCCTATTGTTAGAGAAATGAAATAAATAGATTTTTCAGAGTCATCTCCAATTATTTCAACTCCTAGTTGCTATATTAAAAATAACCTGATTTTCCAAAACAAATTCCTGAAATACTGGCATACCACAAAAATTATGATTCTGGTATAGCTGAAATGATCCGTATTATTGTCATGGATGAAAGTTTGAAGCCAAACCAGCTATTTATATTATCTCAAATTATTGCCACAAGTTACTTATTAGTTGAAAAGGAAAAGCTGTTATTTATATTTATACTACTTTGACAAGAAATCAAACCTAATGACTCCAATAGTGAGACAATGTAACCTGGAATGTATTAAAAAATACTCAACATCACTTCAGTAATTTCCTGCCAAAAATACATCACCTCTAACTACCTCTGGGAATTTCAGACAAATCTACATTGAGGAACATTCTACAAAATTCTATAATCTCCAGAAATGCTGCCACATAAAGTAACAAAAAGAATTGAAAGCTCAGGACATTTTATGGATTATCAGGGACTACAGAGATATGACAAATTGAATTTTGGCTCCGGAGAGGTAGAGGGAAGGGGTAGGGGCCTAGCTGCCACAGGTATTATTGAGACAATTAATTAAACTTGAATATGAATAGAAAAGAATTCATTTACACATGCCAGGAAGAAAGCAACAGACGACTGAAAGATGGTGTTTGCTGCTGCATGGATCACAGCAACCCCCATGGGGAATTCAGGGAGAAGTTCAGAAGGGCTCCCTCAAAGCACTGATTATCTAGTGTACAGAGCTCACCTGCCACTTCAAGCCCACACCGAATGAAGTATAATGTAAGTAAAAGAGAGAGAGAGAGACTGCTATTTATAGTGGAGAAAGGGGAACAAAATACATATACTGTGCAAAAATAATTTCACCATTTTATTGATCTCTGTTCTCTTGATGGTGGGAAAAAATATTTACAATTCAAACTGAAACCTAATTATAATCTAACTCAGTCTCTTTTAAGTAACAATAAATGACTCTACATTTCTGACCCCCTCACCCCACCATCCTTCCTTCTAAGATGGAGCCTGGGCAGAGGGGAAGCTTGTAAATGCTCATGTGATGAAAGAGGCCCAGAATTCACACCCACCCTCCTGCAGAAAGGCTATTCTAGCCTGATCCCTGGTGATGGGGGCTGATGCTTGTTAAGTGTAAGAGCCCCCACTGTTCTTCTGAAGTCCCTGTCACTAGAAACTCTTCCTCAGGAGCCCAGGCTTGTATGAACTCCTGGCTCTCTCTGCATCTCTGTTCTCTCCTGGAAGGACTGAGAGCTCATGACTGCTTTCTCTACACCTTGCTGGGCTCCATGAAAATGCCCTTTTGCCCAGGCACTTGGACAATTTTTTTAGACATTATGAAACAACTCCCTGCACCTGTCATGCCAGCACTAAGGGGCATATAGTTGTCCAAGCTACATACTTATAGTGGGCAGAATGAGAGCATAGCCCTCCAAGAATGTCAAAGTCCTTTGAATTAGGACAATCTGTGAGTATATTACTTGACAATAAGAAATTGACCAACTTTTGATGCCTATGAAGATGGAGGAAGAGGAATACCAGCCAAGGAATGCAGTGGTCTTTAGAAGGTGATAAAAAGGTAAGAAAATCAATTCTCCCCTAGAGCTTCTAAAACGGAACAAAACACCCACCCACCCCCCATCACAACCCTTTGACTTGAATCAAGTGGAACTCCTTTCAGACGTCTAACCTCCAGAACTACGGAATAACACGTTTTAAACTTGTTAATTTGTGACAATTCATTACAGCGGCAGCAAGATAATATCCCTCCATTATCCTGAAAAAAGCAAGCAGCAATCTCCCCACCCTGAGATTTCACTCCAGCACACACATATTACAAATTGCATCCTCAAGCCTTCTCTTCTGAGGTTGCCATGGTATAGGAAGTGAGAACTCCCCAGCTCTTGGCACCTCTCCATTTCTCCCCTGCACTTATCAGACCAAGAAAAAGAACAAACCCTTCTATTATCTTTCCACCTTTAAAGCATCTCTAGAACACATTTAACATTCAAACATCCAAGTTTTTTCTTAATATTTAAGGGGAATTTTTAGATTGACTTCTTCTCTCCCTTTAAAACCTAGTTTTCAAGACAATCTTAAGATTGAAGACTGTTTCCAGGATGAAGACTTACTTTAAATAGTATCTGTTCTCTCCAGTAAGGAAGAAGACCCAAGGAGTCTATGAGCAGGAAATGATTTCAGAGAATGAAAATAAATCAAACAATAAATACATTAACCATTATCCCCTGAACCTGGTTCCAGCTATAATCATAGAGGTCTCCAACCTGTCAGTACTCCCCAAGAGGCACATCATTGTTTTCCATCATCATTTACATTGCCTTCATCTAGCTGGTCCTTCCTCTCCACCATTCACCCTCATTCTCCCTCCTTTCCAGCATTCTAGCCAACCTCTATTTCATCTCCCTCTTCTTTTTTTTCTCTCTTTCTGTCCTCCATTATTTTCTTTCCTTCCTCCATCTTCCTTCCTTCCCTTAATTTCCAACTCTTCCTCCTTTAATCCCAGAATAGTCTCTTATGCATATATCAGAAATTATGATATATATATCATAATATATATCATATCATAAATATATAAAAATTATGTATATATCATGTATATATCAGAAATATATATAAATTATGTATATATCATAATTATATAAATTATGTATATACCAGAAATTCTATCATCAAAGCAATAATAATTACTAGCATTTATTGGACTGCTTACTATATGTCAAGCACTGTTCCATGCTCTTCATAAATACTGATCCTTCCACCAATTCAGATGCATACTATTCTTAGACTCATCTGACAAGGAGCAAGGTAAAGCATAGAGAAGTTAAATAACTTGCCCAAGGTCACATAGCTAATTAGGAGGAAATAATGAATGCAAACTCTGGGCAATCTGGCACCAGAATCCATGCTTCTAATCACTAGACTATACTGCCAGCCCTAACCTGCAGAAACACTAAGAAATGTCCCAAATTCTAATAAGAATGTTTATTGCAGCATAATTTTAAAGCAAGAAAAAAAACTTGGTCTTAATCCAAATGTCTACTAACAGTTGTCTACATGCTATGTGTTCAATAACTATAAAAAATGACCTAGATCGTGCATATATTCACATAAAGAGAGTTAAGTAAAACATGTAAGGAAGAAAATATTTTGTATAATATGATTTATTTTAAGTAATCTCCTTTTTAAAAATTAAGAAATGCACGTGTGCACTTGCATGTGCAAAATTGTGAGAATGTATAGCTACAAAAATATTTTTTGGGAAATGATACATAGGAACATGTTCATAGTAGTTTTAGTTGGAAGGAGAGTCTGGGGTATAAAGAAAGAAAATTTTTCATGTTCATTTTAGTCCTTTGGGGTTATTTAGACCATTTAGCCATACATGTGTCTTGCTTTCTTTTTTTTTTTTTTTAAAGATTTACTTTTTTATTTATACAAGCACTGGGTACAGTCAGAAGCACGGGAGAGTGAAAGAATTCACCAGAGCCAGAGCAGAGAGCAGAACAGGCAGACTGACAAAGTACACTGCTGAGGGGAGAAGAGAGAGGCAGGAGAGGTTTGCGCCATGTGGGACCCTCGCCGGTGGCGGGGATCAAACCGGCGCTGCAGAGGCTGCAGGCAGCTTCGCAGCCCAGTGCTCAACCGCTGCGCCACCAGGGAGGCCCTGTCTTGCTTTCTTTTTAAAACTATAAGGTTTACTAGAATGATGAGATCACAGGTAATTTTTGATTTGTTCTTTGTAATTTTGTAATAAAAGAAAAATAATAAACATTATTTGAACAAATACATATACTACCACATTAAATCCACTGATGGCTAGGAATCACCAGTGCTTTCTAAACTGAAAATTTCACATTATGTTTGACATTGTTAATGAGGCATATGGTGGTACAAAATAAAATTTCATGAAGAAGAAAAGTAGCTTCTTTCTTCCCAAAAAGCTTGTAGCATTGTCCTAAAGAGGGAATGGGACATAGATGGGATATCTCCAGTCTGACAGTGTGGGGTCGTTCAGATGGATTCACATTGGAACTGAAAAGCACCCTTTCCTATAGATAATATGAAAGGAGGGAAGACGTGAAGCACCTAGATTGAGAATTTTCTGCAAATCCAATTAATGGAATCGAACATTTTGCTTCCCAAAGACTCCTCAGAAAATGAAAAGTATGAATGTTACCAAGGGGTCTGGCTGTTAGCCAATGTCCAGGTTGTTTGTAGGGTTCATGGAGCAGTGGTCAATGAATCCCAAGTAGCAGTGTTACGATTACCTGCAAGCATAAGATCATTAAATATGAATTCAGGTGCAAGAGCAACAAAATACATCTAAATCTGTTTATTGTTCATTAGCTAGAAAGAACCCCCAATAAATGCACTGTTGTCTTACTGTCATTACATATTTTCTATGGCACCAATAAAATACTGTTTTCCTCTAAGAAATTTAGAAAGCATTCCTCTGTGGTTAACTACATTTTTTTTCACTAAGGGAATTTTATAATCTTAGACAAATGTTAACATAATGTCTTTTTTTCAGTGAAGCTTTAAGGGAGACTGATTTGAAGCATTTTAAAATTTCCTTTACTAACGTCTACCATAGAAGCTATGTAAAAAGACTCCATTTTCAATAAGAAATAAAACAAGATGCAATGTATATAATAAGGAAGGTATTACTCCTTAAAGAAGCAAAAGATTAAATTGAAACTATGAAAAATCAGTGGTAAGTCTCCCCCAGTTTAATCTGTAAATCTGAGACAAGGTGCAACAAAAACAACAATAACAATAATACCAACCACATTGCTGGAGGTCAATTAGGAAAATCTATCAAATTTTAATGTACATACAAATTCCACTTCCTGGAATTTAACTTCCAAAAACATCTGCTAGTCCTACAATCCATGTTCAAGGTCATTTATTGTAGCATTGTTTGTAAAAGCCAAAGATTATAAACAACCCAAGTCATCGTTGATAGACTAAATAAATGATTATGTACTTATCCAATGAAATATTATGCAGTTGATTAGAAACAAAATTTAACAAAGCTTTCAAACTACTGCATGTTTTGTTATCATTCATAATTTTATTCTAAGCTGAGAGTTCTCTTTCAGATTTATTTCTAAAATTTTAAAATCTATCACCAATGTGCATAAGTAAAAAGAAAAAGATAAGTAGAAACAATTAGTTAAGGGATTCCTAAAATTTCTTTACATTTGGAGTTCAACTCCTATGAATCACTTTCATACTCAGGGTTATAGAAATTCATTATTATGCCATGGAAAATCATCCTCTGTGTCCACTATTATCTCCAAGATCAATTTTTAAAATGTTGACACATATTGTGTTACTTTTATTTCTGAAACCTTCTTTATTTTTACTGGAAGAAGGAACAGAAAAGCTTTTAGACATAAAATGGGATATATCTTTCTTCCCAAATGGTCTTTCAATGGCTATTGCCTGAAACATCAAAATGCTGCAGTTGCCCAGTCCACACATGTATAGACAGTGATGGCCGCACAACTACTGTTATACAACAGTCAAATCATGTCATTGAGTGTAAACTCCAATTTAATTCAAGGTGCTAAAATACTGGAAAATGTGTCTTGTTATTGTATTGTTGAAAAACATTAAGTGATTAGAACAAGGTACAGTACAATGGATAAAGCAAATCACGATTAGGTAAAATGGCAATAAAATACATAATATGTTGTAGATGCATAAAAGCTGTCTAGAATACACACAAACACACAATAATTGTTGTCTGGGGGATGGGAAGTGGGTGACTGGGAATGAGGTAGGACGGATAACTTCATTGTAGAGTATTATGTCTCTCGAATTTTAAACAATGGGAATGTATATCCACCAAAAAATACATTAAAAATTTATAGATTTTTTTTTTTAAAAAACTTATAGATTTGCTTTTAGTTTTTGAAAACAAAATTAAAAGTGAGGTGTCATTTCATTCTTATCACAAACTAAAGCAATAGTTTTCAATGCTACAGATGTGTTTGCATAAGTAGCAGCTAAATTTCATTGCTTTATGAATGCAGTTACTTCAAGAGCAAAGAGACCCCAAAGGATGCATTACTACAAGTAAAATCTAAATGAAAGTATAAATTGGTTGATAAATCACTCCTGGGCTGCCATTTATGTCCTTACTCATTGAGTCCAAAAAGACATTAAAATGCTTTGAATCACAGGAAATTGAAAAATGCCATTCCTAATCCATTTATTTGCTCTCAAAAGGGGTGGAAATCATTCATGCAATAAACTACTAAGTGGCCATTATTATGGTGCTACAAAGACAAAAGTCCTGACTTTAAGGACCTCAAGTTCTGGTAATGATAAAGGGAACATAAACCTGTGATAAAACTCAATATGGAATGTACACATGCAACGGAAATATCTAGAGTATTTTAGGAGTATATAAAGAGAACAACACTAAAAGATGACACTCAGATCAATTCTAAAGACTCAACACTCTGAAGCAAACAAACTCACTGGAATATGTTTTCAAAATCTCATCAGAGGATCAATCCATTTTTGCTCTTGAGTCTATCACCAGTTGATAATTGATGGATTTAATAGTTTTATAAATGGTCTCATATCTTCAACCTCTCATTTCATATCAAATGTGTATGATCAAAATGCAGTCAAAGCTGCATTTTTTCCAATGGCATTTGCCTATGATGAGAAAGAAACTATGATGCTCATCTGTTTCTGAAGTCCTCTTGAGACAGAAATCAAAGACTGGAGAGTGCCAACGGATATGATTCTGATAAATTATTACCCACTTTCAACTATAATTAGGAAAAGTGTGTCCTCACAATAGGAAGAAATTTAAAACAAATCAGCCATAACAAGGATTTGTAGTCTAATTTCCCATCAGCTGGATGGCCATGAATCTCAAGCCCTGAACCATGACGAAGGAGCTCCCAAAATGATGATGCTCCCAACCCCTAGGAGACACAATTGGAAGTCCTCTCTGGGAGAAGACACCATCATCCTAGACATCAAAAATTTCCCCAAATATATTTTAAATACAATGCTCAACACAAACTTGACTAATCAAGCACACAGGGCAACAAATGCCTTGAGCAAAAAATAATCTAAGCAATAAGTGACAGAAATGCTCTATTGAAATTATTTGATAGGGCCTCCCTGGTGGTGGAAGGTGTTAAGCACAGTACTGTGAAGATATCTGCAGCCTCTGCAGCACAGTATGATCCCCAGCCTCTCAGGAAGGTGCCCACATGGCACAGCAGACCTCTCCTGCTAACCCACTACTCCCTTCAAAAGTGTATTTCAGTCAGTCTGCCTGTTCTGTTCCCCACTCTGTCTCTGGTGAATCCTCTCACCCCCTGCATCGCTGGCTTGTACCCCAGCTCTTGTATGCATAAATAAATTAAAAAATTCAATAATTAAAAAAAAAAGAATCAACTTAAAAAAAGAGACACAAAAATGAATTGGACAAATAAAAGAGACAAAATAAGGTGGTAGGTCAAAATCCAAAGACATAATCATTTCACAAAGTGGACAGAATCTCAGGACTGAATGTCCTTCCCACCCAGTAACAGAAGTATTCTAACCAGACTCCCCTGAACACACGTAAGAGGTAAGGTGCTCTGAAAACCTTGCTGAAGAAGCAAAACCAAATGTAGTCTTGCTTGGTCCAACTGGTCCCCATGAGGAGAGAGGCTGGGGAAGTGCTTGGAGGTCACAAGTCCACTTCCTATTCCCAACTTTACTGGGCAAATAACTCACTTATCCGCTCAAAAGAATGGGAGATTGGGCAGAGAGAAACCAAGAGTATTCCAATAATTGATAAGGCTCGAGAGAATTCAGGCTACCCTCATAGGAATATTTGTTGTTCTAGTCTACGCCACTGTGAATTACTTGTTTGAGGGATACCATAAAGAGAGGTTAGGAATGTGAAAGTGATTGGACATATAAATTAGATTTTACAGCAGCTATTAAACATACACGAGAGTTTGGGAGGAGTTAAGAGGATGTTTCAGATATTACCTGTAGTTATTAGGACAAAAATAAAGAGCAGTAAGAATAGATACAAATGATCGGAAGAGAAAGGGAATAAGAATTGGTTAATACAAAATTTCAGATGAAATATAATTCTTTCAAGGCTGTATGTCTTTCTTTACCTACATCCCCTTGAAAAAATCACATGCACAAAAGCTCTTTTTAAAAGGGTGCATTTTTCAGCTAAAATTGGAGAGCAGTTTCAATTAAAGGGCTCCAATAGAGTTAGAAGGGATATTACCTCAGTCCTTCCATCTTTAAAAATAGCCCTCAGCTAGCCACCTCTGAAAGATAAAAATACATCCTATATTTAAACACCTCTAGAGAAAGATTTTACATGTCATCTCAGTAACTAATTCCATCACTTAACATAAGCTCTTTTTATCAACGAAATTAACTATCATTCAGAACGTTAACAGACATTTCTTTAAAAAAAAACTAACTTAATTTACAACTCAAATCTAATTTTTTCCCTCCTGGAAGATAATATATGAGCTCCATTAGCTGGTTGATGATGCTCTATTGAATTCACAGGCAAACTTCCCCACGAGAAGACTTGTAATAGCAGGAAGTTGCATGAAAACAAAAAGAACAGAAAAGGCATTGCTCTTCATCATCATTGTTTGACAGATCTGGTGTAGGTGCAGGATTTATAATGCTGAAGTGAATTGCTTGACTTTGTAGAAATCAATGAAAGTAAAATTCGATTTAAACTTTTTATTAAAATAACATAAATTTTAAGATGTGACTTTCCTGTCATAGTAAATCATCAAGACTGGTAAGGATTACTAGAGGTTGAACCAAAGAATCATCATTCAAGTGCATGAATTACACCCTTGGAAGCAGAGTATTGACCCTTCCAGGCTCATCAAGAAAAAAAGTTGAGCCAAGTCTATATACTAGAGGCACATTGAACCACAGAATAATATTCTATTCATATCAACAGTCTCCTAAGACAGTGATTAGTGTGGCCAAATCAATTATACAATAATATGCAGCAACATCAAAGTTACTGATATTTGGGAAGAAACCATGGTCAATAAATACTGTCCTTTTCAAACATAGTGATCCAACTTGTGGTGTGACACTGAACTAACCTAGGCTGCTAGCTCTCTCTTCTGAACCCAACCCTGAAGAAGCAAAAGCAAACAAAACAAAAAACAACAAAGAGGGAATCATAGGCATTTAAAAGTAAAATCCATATGATACCCCCAAGATCCAGGAGGAGGTTATGAACTTG